TGCAGTGTATGCTGCTTACAAAGTCTTAAAATTTACAACATAATACCTTCATTATCCGTTTCTTTTCACTACCACATAAATGAAATTCAACATATGTCTAATACTAACATTATTCAAAATCAAGAAAGATCAAAAAAACCAAGCCCATGTTTGGCCAGTGTGTTTTGGTATAATAGATTATTCATGAAATCAGTCATACATTTTTGGGAAGTGTGAAATTCATAAATGAAAACAATCATATACATTTTTGGCAGTGTGGAATTCATACATGAAAATAGTGTGGAATTCATACATAAAAAGAGCTATACATTTTTTGGGCAGTGTGGAATTCATAGATGAAATTAGTCATACATTTTTTGACAGTGTAAAATTAATAAGTGAAATCACTGCCACATAAATCAATGGACATTACACTACAACATGAAATTAAGGAACACAATAATACATTTACACATCGCCGTAAGATATAACAACATATATTCATTCTACACTGCCACATAAAAAACTCACATATAAAAAACTACACTGCCCACTACACAATTACGAGTGAACAACCACACTGCCCAAAATAATCATATTTTTTGGCAGTGAATAATGAACATATACTGTTTAATTAAAGGACAAAATCGGAATTACATGTATGAAACATATAGCACTGCTATTTAGAGTATTTTAATGCTCTTAGAGTGCTATTTTGGTTTTTCTCCCTTTAAATTGTTCTTTTGTTTTTTTGATTAAAATAAATACTCTCTCTGTCCACAAATAAACTTTTCGTTGCGCGTTATGATGTTTGATTGAAGTTATTTTCAAATCATTTTATATGAAAAATGGTGTAAAATTAAAAAATAAAAATTACATATTAAAAAACTATATCAAAAAATCTACAAAACTAGAGGTGACATGACTATATTATTTTATCAAAAGGGTTACATGAGTATTTTTTCAATCGCTCGTAATCCGTTTATTTTCAAACTCTTTCAATTCTATTCAAACAATGACTTAAAAATATACTTAAAAAATTTATCAACTTTTGACTTTTTTCAATCAAAATTGATAAAATTTGCTCCCAAATTAAATTAAAATAATACGGAGTATTATATATTTATACAAAAATCTAATTTGACATGAAAATCATGTTAGAGAATAATTGAGAAAAAAAGTTAAAACTTGATAAATACTCCGCAACAATGTAGTATATTAAGATAATATTTTGTTTGAAATTAGGGATGTCAATCTACCCCAATCCGACTTTTACCGACCCTGCCGAAGCTTATAATATCCGAAACCGAACCGAAAATTTAAATATCTGAAACCGATCTAAAAAATTTAAACCAAACCCGGTTCTTGTCAGGTCGGATTTGGGTTAGTATAGTATATTTGATCGATCCAACTTGTACCCGACTTTCAATAAGTTTTAAAAATCATATATTCTTATATTCCATGTGTTTTTGATACACATGTTTTGAATGTTTTAAAACTTGTATTTCTATGTTTTATTTTTTTTGTTGATAAATCTTGTGTGTCACCTCTATGTTATTTTCTTTGTACTCCATATAATATTAGTTGAACTTACTATTTAATTTTCTTGATGGGTATTCTGTCATAATTATTTTTGTTAATATCTCAAATTTTATGTTGTATTTAAAATTTTATATTTTTAATGTATTTCAATCTAGAATTTTCATGAATGCTTTTATTAGTGTTCAGACCCGAATTTGACCTTAACCAATCCAATCGAATCTTAAACCGAATTTGAACTGAAAAAATAAATATACAAAACTAACCCGCCAAAACCAAACCCGAACCCGACTTAAATCGGGTCGGATTTTAATATACTCAAACCCGTCCGAACCCAACTCATTGTCATCCCTACTTGAAATCTAATTTCTAAATATTTAAAATTTAATTTGACATGAAACCCAAGTTTGAGATTCAATTTTCAGGCCTACTATGTGCGCCTGGTTGGTTTAAACGTATAAAGTTAAGGAGAAGCAGATTAGTAGTTACTCCTCAAAATTTAACTCTTAATACAAGCGGGTCATTCCTTTGCTCGATGTTTGGTTCAAAGAATTGGAAAGGAAAAAAAAGAAAATGAGAGAAATAACCATTTTTCTTTGTTTGGTTAGAGAGCAAAAAAAAGAAAAGGAGAAGACATCATGTTTGGTGAGTAGTTTTTTTTTCTTTTTTTTCCGAATTCTTTGAACCAAACATAGTGTTAAGAAAATCGAGTCAAATTCCATTTGGTAGTAAGGGTCTGTTTGGAAGCGAGAAAAAGCACTCCTCGAAAATGACTTCGAAAAAACGAGTTATTTTTCTAAAGTTAATTTCTTGATCGTTTGGTAAATTTTAGAAATATAATAAGATATGGGTTTGAAAAGTAATATAAATTGTACGGAATATGATTCTAAAATCTGAAATAAAATTATTTGGAGAGATTTAAAATGATAATTTAATTAGTGATGGACGTGAGTGACTGACAACGGAAGTAGTTGGTGGTGACTGACAATGGTAGCCGATGATAGTGAAATAATCAACAGTTAAGAAAAATATCAAACTCACATATTGATATCTTCCAAATTCAAGAGATATCAAAATTCCCCATTTAAAAGATTTATATCTAGAAATATCAAAGTTGATATTTTTTTTTGCATCAACAAATGTCAAAAAAAAAAATTAAAACATGAATATATCTGTTACCAAACACACCCTAAGTGTTTGGGTGAAAGAATGAAATTTGTATACTTCTATTTGGCTCATATCTCTGAAAATGAGTATGGAATAAGGAGGAACACAAAACTCAATCTCCCAACAAATATCAAGCAAATTAATCTATTCAAGTACAAGTTAAGAAAATTAAGTCATTTTCCAGATAATAGAGCAGATTTTTCCTTTCACTGAAACCCATTTTCCCATTGATCTCATTTTCCATTTCATCAAACACACTAACAGACCCTAAGTTCATATACACCTTATCCTGCACAACTTTGAACTCATTTCATTTATGACTAATAAGAATACACTAATGTGATTTAACTCAAATAAAATAGTACTCGCTTAAAAGGGACTGTGGATTCGGCTTGATATGGTTCAAGCTCGAAACAAGACAGATTCAAGCTAGATTCTAAGCTCAAAAACTTAATGAGACAAACATGAGCAAAAGACGGAAATAGTTCAAGTTGAACTCAAATAGGCTGCACTCGACATTGGCTATTTGTCTGAACCTCTTTATCCTAAACTAATTTATTTACTTGTGTATTGTACAAAGTATTTTTCTGTAAACCTTAATACATCTCTAAGGCCTAAAAAACAAATATACAATGGCAGCAGTTTCCACTTTGCAATCATTAGGGAGGAACCAAATTACAAAACAAACATTCCAAGCAACATTTTTTTGTAGTCAATTATTGTCTAAACATTTTTGTTTGTAGAGATGGCACTTGTACAATTTTGACCTCCATTACGATACCTCAAGTTCAAACAACGGAGATTGTATTGATGTGTTTTACAGCCATATACAAGAACACCAATAGTCTGCTTTATCTCTTTGAGTACTTCTAATTTTTAATTTTGGGCAACAACAACAAACCCAGCAAAATCCACACACACACACAAAAAAAGTAGAGTTTGGGGAGCGTATGTTTATGCAAGCCTAATCATTACTCAAACATAGACATGAATTTGTGGTGAAAATCAGGCAAAAAAGAGATGAGATCAACAAATGCATGGGTGAGTAGTGACATACCAACAAGCTTTAGTTTGCTTTTGTGGCTGATTGAGAAAGCACCTTATGCAGCTTTCTGGTTTCCGTGGCAACACATTCCCTGTCAAACAAAGTAGACACTACAGCAACACCTTTCAGGTTTGGTAGTCCCATAGCCATCACAGCCTCGGCATTGGAGATGCCAATGCCACCAATGGCCACAACTGGCAATTTTGAAGCTAGACATACAGATTTCAGCCCATCCAATCCAATTGTCTGATTGTTTTCTTTAGTGTTTGTTGGATATACGCCCCCACAGCCAATGTAATCGGCCCCTTCTGCCCATGCCCGATGAGCTTGCTCTGGTGTTTTGCACGAAACTCCAATAATCTTGTCGGGCCCGAGAAGGGCCCTGGCAGCATGGGCAGGCATGTCAGACTGCCCGACATGCACGCCATCAGCGCCACTAGCTAGTGCAATGTCAATTCGGTCATTTATCAATAGGGGTACATCATGGAGGCGACATATTTCCAAGCATGCTTTTGCTGCTTCCAAGAAGTCTAATGTTTCTGCATCCTTCTCCCTAAAATACACCACATATAAACCAATCAACATTTTCTCTATCTTTCGGTGGGGAGGGGGTGGGTCAAGCTACTCAATTCAACCGGGAAAAAGTTTGGATTCAATTCTGTTATTGTGGAGTTGACCTCAAGAAGCATTATCGGCAAAATATGTAGATTCTAGTACTCGGCTTGGGCAACTTGTCACCTAATTATTGGCTTATTACATGTGGAGTCTAATATGTGGTATAATTTAAAGTTTGCTATTTTCTTAAATATATTTGTATATTTCAAAAAACACTATAAGCAATATATAAATGCAAATGATAACCACAATTAGACGAAATTTGTTTTGGCACACTTTCAAGGCTCGGGTGCCAAGCTTCCTATTTATATTCGTGGTCCATCACCTCTCTTAGCCAATATCTATTGCCCCAATTACTTAAGCTCACTCTTATGTGTCTTATTAGTTCAACCCTCATGCGCGTGTATTGGTGTTAGATGACTAAAGGCGAGTAAAAAATAACAAAACATATAAAAAAGGATAATGAAAAACACAACCAACCTAAGTTGAATAATAGAGGCACCACCCTCCACCGCAGCTCTCACCGCATCTGTTATTGAATGCCCCCACTTTTTGTTCATCCTTGAATCTGTAACAGCATACAAGAAGAGATCGCTTGGAACAAAATGATGTGCCCTACATGACTTCAGTGCATTACTCTTGAGCTTCAATAGATGATCAAAAGGACCTTGAAGACCATTTCCAATGACTATATCCTTACTGTAATCTAAGGCTGTTTCAACACATTGTTTAGCTACCTGCCAGAGGCAAAAACGCCAATTTGACAACTCTTAAGTGTGTGATATTGAATGTTAAATGAGTAAAATGTAGGGTAAACCTCATATCTTGAGAATCCTTTTGGTAAGTTGGACCCAATTTAAAAACAACAAAAATACATTGTGCAAGAAGTAATATTAAAAGTTGAAACTTGAAACCCATTCTATTGAAACAATTGATAAAAGAATTTGATGTGATTGTGATTAAACAAACTTTAAATTTACCGAGAACTTTTATGAGAGCCGGGACAAGAAAGCCTCAATTTATTTTCATTTTGATTTTAGACCAGACCACCCATCACCTCAATAATAAACTCTAGCCGATGTTTAATATGTGAATTGAAAAGCGAAGGGATTCAAATATTTTACCTTACCATGGTGATCCTAAGCAAAAAGCTAGAACACATGGAGAACAAATCAATCCGACACAGAAAGGAAAGAGAAGAGACAAAAAGAGGCACGTTAATTAAGTGAGCTAATCAGCCATTTATATTTAGTTACAACTCTACAAGGCACCCCTAACCCCATGCTGACTTCAAACCCTAAAACGTGTTAAAGTAAATTACCTTAACAGCCAAAATCATTGGAGAGCCTTTAGATAACTCAGCTGCAATACAAGAAGCCAGTGTGCAACCAGTTCCATGGGTATTTGCTGATCTTATGCGTGGCGACTGAAATTCATGAAATTCCTTCCCTATCTCAAGTGAAAACGGGAAACCCGTAAGCACACATTCACAATTGAGCACATGACACAATAAAGTGCACTAAGACTTGTACTTCGCAAGTGCTTACAGGAGATGTATGTCATACCCACCATCATATAAGATATCAACAGCATCCATAGAAGTGGGGAGGTCACCTCCTTTAACAAGTACATTCCTGCAGACAACCCCTTCTCCCATTGACATATTCTTACAGAAAGTTACGAATGATTTTTTACACAAAAAGGATTGAAATAAAAAGATGAACAAGTAGATTGTCATAATAAAGATTAAAATAGAAAGATGAACATGTAGTTTCTCATCTTCCGTTAATGAAAATTAGGAAACTAGAATCTAACCTTGGGCCGAATTCATGTATAGATTTAGCAGCAGATCGCATGTCATCAAGTGTTTCCAAGTGCACGCCACCTAGCAAAGCAGATGCCTCCTTCAGATTTGGAGTCACTATATCAGCCATGGGAATGAGCTCCTCCCTAATATAATGTAATCGAATGTCATGGTTTCATGAAAACATTGGAGTAATAAATAGATGCATATGTTACAATGTTACCTCACATAGAGAGACACTAACAGAGCACAATCAAATACCGGCAAACTGCTTCATAGAACACATTGAAGGGTTGGGGGGGCTATTGAGAAACTTTCAGTAAATTTCAGTAAACTTACCGAAAACTGGCTAAAGTTGAGGGACCAGATAAGGTGTCTCCACTTGTAGAGACCATGACAGGATCAACCACCAAAGCTGTCTTAATGAATTTGACGCATCAACACAAGTGCAAATCAAACTCAACCCAGAAAGAAGATTCTTGTCTTGGATGTAGTTGTACCTTGAATGGGAAATTCCTTAAGACACTGACAGAGGACCTTGATTGTGCTCGTAGAAGGGAGCATGCCCGTTTTCACCTAGATATAATCCATGTCAACCAATAACAACAACCTCTTCACATACTACTATGTGCACGCCTAGTTTGGTACTGTAATCAGAAAATAATACGGTCTAACAGTGATGAACCACATAACACAAATTGCCTTCCGGATTTTTTCTTTTCCGTTATATGCAGTCTCTAGTTCTTAGTTTTTATCAATAAGTACTGAACATAAATATCAGGTTGTCTTCTCGAGATTCATTAAGAACGAAATTGAGTCGGACACACTTACAACATCCGGATGCATATCAGATAGAACTGACCTCAGCTGATCCGCCAAGAACTCTTCTGGCACAATGTGTACACCCTAAACATGAAACCATAACTTTTTTCAAAACTGCATTCCATAATATTAGTATTTCCTTTTCCAAACAAAAACCAAACAACTAGAGTAACGAAACAAAAGTAACAATCCAAATTCGTTCTAAGTGACAATCCATGATCTGAAGATTGCATTGATACCTGAACTCCCACCGTATTCTGAGCAGTAACGGCGGTGATAACCGTGGAGCAGTAGACTCCCCTAGACGCGCAGGCCTTGAGGTCCGCCTGGATTCCAGCACCGGCGCTGGGATCCGAGCCTGCGACGGTTAGCACGTGCGGGACTCTTATGTTCGAGCTATCGCCAGACATTGTTATCGAACTCCTGGATCGACGAGATCTATGGAAGGAAGCTACGCTACAGCTCAACTGCAAACGATTAATATACAGCTCAAATACTTAGGAGAATGAACATTCACCTGCTCGAGAAAACCATACGTTGAGATACGAACCTTTGATTTGAGACTGGATTGACAGTACAAGGCCTGGATGCAGGAATCCATAACGGGAGAACTATGAAATTGAAATTTATAGTTCGCGATGAGGCCAGGAGCTTCATCTACCCTGCTGGAGTGTATGGCTCCATGCCTCCCTGTGCACAGTAACCAAAAAGTGGTGCACTATTATATGTTTTTATTTTCCAATGTAGGACCTTTAGTCATTATGAGTTAGTCATTATTCAACTAAATGTCCAGCATCACTTGAACATTATTCTTCTCACTAGTCATTATTTAGTCCTATTTAGAGAATAAAAAAGTTTAAGTACTACATTAAGAAATGACTTGGGAAAAATACGAATATAGCACTTTAATAGGCTTATAATACGCAAAATAGCAGTGCTATAAGTTTTTTAGATGAATTCCCAATATTACCCTTAATTAAATAAATTTGTATTATATATATACTGCCACAATATATACATTGCCACAATATATACATTGTCATAATGTTAGTCACAATATGTACTTCCAAAAATTCAATGTCTGAAATACACTGCCACAATATATGCACTGCTAAAAATTCAATGTCTGAAATACAATGCCACAATATATCTACACTGCCACAATCCGGGCAATCACAGAGCATACTTCTCATAGTTTCTAAGAAAATATTTTAATTTGTTTATGAAGAAAATTAAATAAATATACCTTCTGAGAAGAACAAGGATTCTGAGATTTTTGAGCAAATTCATGCTGACAACGTGTTGTAAAATGAGAGAAGAACTACTCAAAGATTAAGAGAATAAATATAATATAATACACTGCCACAATATATACACTCCCACAATATATCTACACTGCAACAATATATACATTGCCATAATGTTAGCCACAATATGTACTTCCAAAAATTCAATGTCTGAAATACACTGCCATAATATATGCACCGCCAAAAATTCAATGTCTGAAATATAATGCCACAATATATACACTGCCACAATATAAAGCTTCCATGAGTATCCCACGTCCCATCAACACGTAGCAATATCGTCAAATTTAGACCCATCCGTGATGCTCCTTTTAAATAATAAAAGAGAAAATATTCAATTAAATTAAATAAAGGAATGAACTCAAAGAATAGACGTATAACCTAATATGCGATGAAAATGTTGGATTTACTGGAAGTGGTGAATACAAAAACACATCGTATATATACATGATAGGCGTTTTAGTCACATTGCAAAGTTTAGAATATTAAACAAATACATATTAATCTCACCTTTCTGCATGTGTGCAAGTTTTGGGCCGCCGTTAAAAAACTAACGGCCACTAAACAGGATTTTTTGAAAATACATATTTTTGGAAAATAAATGAAAGGTGTGATTATTTTAGGTAAATTTATTTTTTATTTTTTTGACATGCAAAGTTTTTTTAAGGATAAGAACCAAATTCAGATATTAAGGATTAAGGAAATAAACAAAACTAAAATGCAGGACAACATTTAGGCATTTAATCTTCACACTGCTCACACCATAGCACATAATCTTAACACTGCCAAAATCACAATGTCTTTAAAAGACATAATTTTTCAAAAGGAACAAATACTAGGTATTTCAAAATTGATTTCACACCACCTAATCTTCAGTACGAATAAAACACAACAATTAAATCTAAAAATACATGGAAATCCGAATAAAGGGATAAAGAAATGAAAATTAAAAATCGAAGGAGAAGAGAAAATGATTAGCCACATCGATGAAGGAAGCGGAGATAACCTGATGATTGCCGCTGCTGATCGACCCAGGAATCGTGGGAGAAGGCCTGAGGACGCATGATGGCGGACGACTGAAGGAGAACGTGCGGCCGAGCGCAAGAAGAGTATGTGCGGCCTAGGGAGTGCCGTAGTTTTTAATGAGAAAAAGAAAAAAAGGTTAAAGGGCATGATAGGAAAGGATTGACCCCAAAAAAGTGCTAAATTTGTTAAAAACAATGAGTAGTGCTAGATGCGTAATTTAGAGTGAGTTAGAGTGTTATGTAGAGTGATTTCTTTTTTAAAAGTCGTTTGTTAAATTTTAGAGATATGATATGGTACGAATTTTAAAATACGAGAGAAATGATTTGAGTTCTAAAACCTAAGGACTCGTTTGGTACACGAAATTGACGGAATTGGAATTGAATTAGAAATTAGAATTCTATGGAATTGATTTGGGTGAAATTGAATTCTCTAATTCCAGTTCATTTTTGGCGCTGCCACTTCCAAATCCACATATTTTTGTGCTACCAAACACTAGAATTATAATTGTTGTCCTCAATTCCAATTTCATAGTTTGAATTTCGAATACCAAATGGGTCCTTAAATAAAATTGTTTGAAGAAATTTAAAATCACATTTTAATTAGTGATATGTGAGGGTGGTCCCTCGCTAGCAACATATATGGTTGGCGGTGAAAGTGGTAAATTGCAAATATATACGTTGATATCTCCCAAATCCAATAGATATTGAAGCTTTCTATTTGAAGAGTTATATATATATATATATATATATATATATATATATATATATATATATATATATTGATTTCAAGATCAACTTCTTTTTTATCTTTCACAAAAAAAGACAATGAGATATCCTATATGTCTAAAAATTATCTTCTTATTATGCGTTACGATATTTAATTAAATTTATTTTCAGATCATTTTATGTAAATAATGATATGAAATTAAATAAATACTCCCTCCGTCCCTAAATATTTGGCACACTTGTATTCCCGAGGCAAAATATCAAATTTTTTCAATTCATTTTATTTACATATTGGTATAGAAATAAAAAATAAAATTTACATATCAAAAAACTACATAAAAAGTTATTCGAAATAAGTGGTGTCAAGAATATTTTATTTTATCAAATAACCAATGAAAATATAGAAATAAATAAAAATTCTCACGACTGCTGAAAAAACAAACATTGCAAATAATTTGGGACGGAGGAATATATTCTTGCGCTTACCAAACCAAACGGGGCCCAAAAGGGATAGAAGTGTAGAAGTCCAACAGACCTTCACGAAATTTTTTGTGCCCAAATTTTGAAATGCTAAATTCAAAGCCCTATCTCCTAAAACTATCCCGCCCGTACACACTGCTAACCGCGCCATGAATTCAAAGCTCTCCTCCAAAGACTGTCATTTCTTCCCCACCGCCCTTTTCATTCGTCAATTCGCCACCACCGTAACCACTTCCGCCCTTCTCCGCCGCATATCTCTGATCGGCGGCTGAAATCACTGTCCAATGGTTAGTTTTTCTCCGAGAATAGTTGCGCAATCCCTAATTAACTTCTATACATTCTCGTTCTCTCTGGCATGCTGTAAATCACACTGCAAATCAATTGCTTGTATCATTGTCTCTCAGTTTCCCTTTTTCACGACTGCTAGCTCATGCTATTTAGTTGTACAGTTTTTCATCTCGAAATTCGCCAGGTGAAGTTGGTCAGCATATTTAATGTCAAAGGAGAACCACACGAGGCAAGGATGTTACTTTATGCTGTTTTATGAACTTGTATTGCTGTTAACTTTGTTCTGTTTATGTTCTAATTCATCTGATGGTGCAATTTGTCAAGCAGTGAAAGTGTCTGGGTTGAGAAACCCTGCTCTGGTGACAAACTCCCAAAATTTAACTGGCAGGAACATGCCCTCCGTCTTGATAACGGTCTCACTCAGGGCAGCTTACTGAAGTCGGGTTTCCTTTATTCCCTTCCAGAACAAAAGCCTAGTGCCATGAGAGCAATGGGTATAAGGTGGTGTAGACTGTCACTAATTTTTTTCCAACCGCTTTATCTTGATTGCTCCATTCACAGTTTATTTAGCTACTTGTTAACTGATTTTTTTTGTTTCTTGCATGGTCATTTAAGTGCATTTCCATTTCTACACCATTTCACCTCTTGCTGGATGTATTCATTTAAGGTCTTCATATATTTTGCCCACCACAAACTCTAGTATTTAGTCGGAGATAGTGGGTGTGTATGGTTTGATTAGATAATCCAAGTCAATAGATTCTAAGTTGATAATATGCCAATCTCTATGCTTTTATTTATTGATCAGTCTCTTGTTGATGGTGTACTCATTAGTCTTACGCTGATTATCATTGCTCTAGGCCAACTATTTGTCAAATTCAGGATTTGAGGTTGTCTGACCCTATAGCTGAGAAGGTATATTCTTATACTCATACTGTCCTCCAAATCTCAATTTAAAGAACAATATAGACCCAGTTTTGAATGAAGTTCACTTTTTTAAAATTATTTACTTCAAATTTGTCCATTCCACTGAACTTCGCATGGCTTATTGTACACACATGCACCCTTTAAATATGAATTAAACAGTGTCATTTTCATTTTCTTCTTTGGTTGGCTTTAACATTGCAGACTGTTTATAAATTCAGGCATGGCAAAATCTTTCCAACATGCGGTTGTCTTCCAAGAGCTATGTCAAACCTGGGAAAACTCTACCCTTTACTAAAGATGCCAGTGCTTCTGCCGTAGGAAGTTCTGTTCAAGCCAATCAACAATGGTCATCCAATGTGAATAGCACTTCATATTCACAGGTGCCATTTCATCAGAGCTTTAGGGAAACTAACAGTGAAGTAGGAGAATTCAGAAAGTCTGCAGGGGCTTCTTTTCCATTGCACGCGCAATTGGGAAATACTGTGACTAACCAGAATAGTATATACTCGTCAACGACAAGTGCTTCTTGGAAGCAACCCCCCAATGGATCATTCACAGCCAATGCAGTCAATTTAAACAAAATGAGAGGGTCTAATGACAGTTTTGCAGATGGATTTGATGATGATGATGTACTGGAGGTAATTCGCTCTTGTGTCCTACAATGTGGTTGCTGGGAACATAAACATACAGAATTTTCCACAAGTACATTAAACTTATAGAATGAGGTTTGATTTCACACCAATAATAAACAAAAAAGTGGTGCGAGCGGTATTCTTATTTTCCTTAAATTTCCCACCAATATACATAATGATCATTTGTATGTCTTGTAGGGAATTGATGTTGACCAAATAGTTATGGAGCATTATCAATCTAACTGCACACCTCAACCATCACTTTCGAAATTTCCTTCTACTCCAGGCATGAGTTCTAGATGCTTGGAAAAAACTGAAGAAAGTAGTTTGCCTTTGGAGCTGTCCTCAAATTGCAATCATGGTTTGCAGGTTAGCAATATTTAATCTGAATTTTTATGTGACATGAATAACCTTAATTCTTATCTTATTCATGTGGTTGTTGCAGCTAGGACTTTGTCCGGAGGCGCCAGCTCATTTGCAAGATATGAAGGATAAATTAATTTCTATTTCAAATGATCTTCTTGACAATGTTACTAATCTCAGTTCTGACCAAGTCGAGAATCTGCGCAAAGAAAGGTTTTATTCTCTAAAAAAGCTCTCTGTTCTATTGTTTCATGCCACCTCAACAATTGTATTTTATCCGAGTAAAAGATAAAAAAGAAATTGTTTGATATACAACTTTTGGATGTAAAGTGATTCTTTTTTATGAATCATATATTTTTATTGCTGCCCCGTTTAAATTCTTCATACTTGGTTTGTAGTGAGCATGTACACACTCACCCACATATACAACAGCCTTGTATAATCCCACACAATGCAAGGGTAAGTGTACGCAGACCTTACCCGTAGTCCAAAGTAGGGAGACGTTTCTAAGAGACCCCCAACTCAAAAAGTAGGGGCAAACAAGCTACTATACACTAACAAAGTGCTATCCAATACCCAAGAGAGAGGAAAGAAGAGGGGAGAAACACATTTGTAATGAACAAAAAAGTCTACTAAAACCAAGGAGACTTAAGTCCTGCCTAATCACCCCAATCTACCTAGGTTTATCTCTACCATGACTAACCTCGCTATGATAAGCCTTTCACACATCTGGACAAAGGCTTCAAAACTTTTCCTCCTAATGTGCCCAAACCACCTAAGTCTGGCTTCCTGTAACTTACCAATAGGAGCCACTCACAGTCTTCCCTGATTAACACACACACAAACACACAAACACAAACACACAAACACACACACACACAAACACACATGTGTGCGTGCGCGGCGTGATTTATGTGAGAATGACTTTGAATGTGAGAAATGTGAATGAAGCATTTTTTTTCTCTTTTTTAATGTGAATGGTGCATATTTGGTTCAACCTTATGCATATTTATGTGCATATTTTGATGTGACATAAAGTTTGACTTTTTTACAAATATGCCATCACGATTTTTTCTTCTAATTTTTCATTTATTCACACCTCTTGAGATCTTTTATCGAATGGACCATATACATTCTTCTTTCTCTCATTCTACATCATTCTCATTTGATCGAAAATCTCTCTCTCTCTCTCTCTATATATATATATGTATATGTATATATGTATATATATATGTGTGTGTGTGTGCATTATATATATGCGTTATGTGTTACTTGTTACATATAATAAATATGGTAGACAAGTTAACGCTTGGTGGACTGTGTTTCTATAGATTGGAGTTGAATACTCAAATTCAACAGCTTGAGAAGTATCTCCGCACAATATCAGTTAATGCAGAAAGAATAACGTCACAGTTCTCTGCGTCCACCACCGCTTCAAATTTTCAATATGAGACTCCTCGAACAATTCCCTTTAGGATTGATCCCAGGAGGCTTGAAACACAATTTGAATATAATGAACCGGTTGGATTTGATCAATGGAATTCTTCATCGGTGCCTTTTTCATCAAATAGTATTTCAAATGATAGTGTCAGAAGAGAAACTTACATACCAACAAATATAGAAGTTAATTACGTTGATGGTTCAAATGATAAAAAGTGGAGCTGCCGAGACTTTCCTTGGACAAAAGATATTGAGGTGTGTACCTATAAGTCAATTTGAACAGTTTGCATTTTTCACAATGATTACTCAGATATATGGTCATTTATTCTGCTGCTAGGTCAACAACAAGAAAATATTTGGAAATCACTCTTTTCGCCCCAACCAAAGAGAGGTGATCAATGCCACCATGAGTGGATACGATGTATTTGTTTTAATGCCAACTGGGGGAGGGAAGAGTTTGACCTACCAGGTGATAATACGTATCTCTTTATCAAATAGTCCATTTGTTCTTAATAACTACTAGAAAGCATTTAAACTTTGGTTTGCAGGTCTAAGCATATGTCATTAGAATCTTAGTACATACCCGTACCACTAATGGCAATTTTATTTGTTTGTGCTAATGCTTTTTTGCTCATGTAGTCATGTTCAAATAGGTAGATAACCACCCATTCAATGGGGATATATCTAAGGTTTTTTTTTTTCTGTTCTAGTGATGCAGCAGTAACCTGTATGTGAGTATAGTACCTCGATCTTGAGGGAATTAGGACATGTCAGATAAATTTTGGTTAGCATCTAAGGTGCAAAGTAATCACTTGAAAATGTAGTGAACTAAGCAAGGAGATAAAGAGAATTTTGTGGGAATAGATTAATCATTTTTCTTAAGTTTTTTCTATATATAAGGCAATATGTGTTTTTGCCTTTTTTTGATGTTCTAATTCTAACTGACACGGCAACTTCTTAATTCCACATCAAGAGGAATTGTCTCCAAAATTCCTATTTATGATTGTATGAATGATATAACAAGAATGCTTGTCTCTTGCAGCTTCCAGCTTTCATTTCTCCTGGGGTTACTTTAGTAATTTCACCTCTTGTTTCACTCATTCAAGATCAGATAATGCATCTGCAACAGGTAATTGTTGTATTAACGATATGGATTTAGAATTTTTCCTCACTTGAATGCCTGTCTCATTGTCTGGCTAATTATAATGCAGGTTAACATTCCTGCTACATATCTTAGTTCAAACTTGGAATGGCCTGAGCAGCAGGAGATTCTTAGAGAACTTAGTTCAGGTGTTTGCAAATACAAACTTTTATACGTCACACCAGAGAAAGTTGCTAAGTGAGTGTTGGCTTTTTTTAACATATACCCGGAGTAATAAATAATATGTTAGCTTTTAGCTTTTAATTGGCTTGTCTATTTCTTACATCTAAAATTCATTAAATACATCGAATATAAAAGAAATATTTTTAAATTCATCTTTAATTGATAAACCAAGGTAAAAAAAGTGTTTGACCGACACTTTTAATTGAATGCAGAAGTGATGTTCTGTTGCGACACCTGGAGAGGCTACATGACAGTGATTCACTGTCTAGAATTGTTATTGATGAAGCACACTGTGTAAGCCAATGGGGGCATGATTTTAGGCCAGACTATCAGGTGATGTCTTAAATCACATATTTAAGTGGGTAATTTGAATTGAGGGTCCTTTTTAATACTAAGCTTTTGGTCCCTATCCAGTGTCTTGGTATCCTGAAACAAAAGTTTCCTAGTGTTCCTGTTCTGGCATTGACTGCTACTGCAACACTCAGCGTCAAGGAAGATNCGTCTTCCGTCAAAGTTTTAATCGTCCTAATTTACGGTAGGTGGAAGTGTCTGTTTTTAAGCTACCAATGTTGGGGTATATGCTCCTTGATTTGCATTGACCATCTGCCACTATTTCAGATATTCTGTAATCCCAAAGACTAAGAAGATTTTGGAAGACATTGATACCTTCATAAGAGAAAATCATTTTGATGAATGTGGAATCATCTATTGTCTTTCTAGAATGGACTGTGAAAAAGTTGCTGAGAAGTTGCAGGTCAAAATCAATTTGTTTATTCTATTATTTTGTTCTTGTTTTCTATGGAAAACTAGTAGATTTTGATTTCCTTTAGAAAAGCCAGAAAATTGAAATAAAAATCATTTCGTTAGCAATGTTTTTAGGTTCCAGTCCCCTAGCTACTTGACCTGTGTGTCATTCTTAGGCAGGGACCATGCTAATTTTTTCATACTTTTATTCAATGTGAAATAATTGGACCTAGTCCATATTTTTACCCCTTATGCTTTTTCCTACGTCTGAAAGTGTATTTAGGTAGTCAAGCCCTTCCCTTGTTATTTAATATATTTTCAATTTATAGGCAGCTTACACGTTTGAACATATTCAACTTAAGCAGATAAAATCATTAGTGTGTCACTGTGTCCTGACATCCTGTACAGCCAATGAATAATTTCAAAACTACTACTGTTACATAAGTGTATATATATAATGGGTTAGAGTCTTGTCCAATACTCCCTTGGCCTCATAAAATTCTTTACACTATACTTTTTTGGACGTCCCAAAAAAAAGCTTTACACTTTATTCTCTATGTTGGTAATGATTATGTGGCTACCAACAGTTCTCTCTCTTCTAAACAAATTCTAACCGCACGCTTTACTTATCAACAACTTTCTTAAACTCCGTGAAGTCAAACTGTCAGAACTTTATGGGATGGAGGGAGTGAATTAAATATGAACCCTACGAAAGTGGCATCCTAAAGTTCTCTAACTAAATCAGTTGGAAGCAACTAAATCAGGGGAGTTGACATTGGATGACATATGAAGAATGCTTCCGAACTTTTCTTGATATGAATTGAAAAACTGTTTTGGTTTCTTCAGAGTTTAGTTTCTCTTGTTCCAGATTATACACTATATATATGTGTATGTGTGTGTGTGTGTTTGTTAATAAATACGTAATATAACATAGATCTTCATATATGCTGACCTGCATTATGCTATAAAATTGGACGTGTTTTAAATTTCATTATTCAGGAATATGGGCACAAAGCAGCATTTTACCATGGCAATATGGATGCTCCTCAGCGTGCCTATGTGCAGAAACAATGGAGTAAAGACGAGATCAATATCATTTGTGCAACTGTTGCATTTGGAATGGGTAAGCTTTACTTTGACTATTTATAAAGCTGTTTCCAATGCTCTTACAATGCAAGCTAATACAACGTGGGGAATGCATTTTAGGCATCAACAAGCCAGATGTACGGTTTGTCATTCATCATTCACTGCCAAAATCTATTGAAGGCTATCATCAGGTGGTTATTAATTTGTCAACCCAGACTATTTTTATTTTAAATATATATGAAAAGTTTAAGCATTATAATTTTCTGTTTGATTAGTTATAAAAAGATGTCCTTGTAATATATTATGACATTGCCATGTTGCAGGAGTGTGGTCGTGCTGGAAGAGATGGCCAATCTTCATCTTGTGTGTTGTATTACAACTACAGTGATTATGTATTGATCCTTTTTTGTGTGTGTTAGTGTGTGCGTTTTCTTTTGTTTCCTTGAGTTTATTCGCAGTGGTATTATATGCTGCACTTGGAACATAATTTATTCTTCTGTAGATAAGGGTGAAGCATATGATTAGCCAATGCCCTATAGAACAGAGCTCTTTCACACCTGGTTACGGCCGTTCCAGCATGGCAACCTCTGGGAAGATACTAGAAACAAACACTGAAAATCTTTTGCGAATGGTATGTGATTGAATTTTTATTGTTTTAAGTATGTGTTCTAATTTCTCTTGATGTGTAAGAGCAGTATATGGCATTATTTTCAGGTTAGCTACTGTGAGAATGACGCTGATTGTAGACGCTACCTTCAACTTGTTCATTTTGGTGAAAAGTTTGATTCTGTCAATTGTATGAAAACTTGTGACAATTGTTCAAAATGTCAGAGCTGCATTGACAAGGATGTTACTGGAACTGCAAAACAATTAGTTATGACACAGCTCAATATCTCTTCATTTAGTTCATCATTATAACTTAATTTAACATCCTTCTTTCCAATGGTTAGGTCGAGCTAGTGAAGATGACTGGACAACAGTTTTCATCAGCTCATATATTGGAAGTTTTTAGGGGTTCCTTGAACCAATTTGTATGATCTGGTTGCAAATAATATTTTCTTATTCAGATTTTGTTTCATAACACATATCTAATTTGCTGTTATCCTCTTACCTGGGCTAGGTCAAGAAACATAGACATGATATATTGAGCATGCATGGAGCTGGAAAACATTTAGCAAAAGGTGAAGCATCCCGAGTGTTGCGTTACCTTGTTACTGAAGATATTTTAATGGAGGAGGTTAAGAAAAGTGATACATATGGATCTGTATCATCAGTTTTGAAGGTATGATATTAGTTCTTTTTGGCATCTAAACAGCGTTGAACTAGGCATCTATCATTGCATCAAACCCTTTTAGAATCACTAAAGACTTTGCTTTTTGTTACAACTTACAAGTTCTTCAACCACTTTATGTAGGCAAGTCCTCAAAAAAATTCCCGGGTAAACAACAAATTCTAATTTTGAATGCAGGATCTCTTTTCGAATACCAGATTCAGATTTGGATCCGAATCTGAATCCGCTATGAATGATTTGGATTGGAACTGGATCTGTGTCTGATTTTGTGTAGTTATCATTGTTTATTTCTGTTGTTGTTGTTGTTGTTATTATTATTATTATTATTATTATTATTACACACACACTTAATCACAATGGGTCCGGGTCTGGATCTAGCCCGTTGACAGGGCTAACTCTATGGAGTCTGTCATAAAAAGTAGAGCCAACAAATTTGTTGATCGTTATAAATGCTTACGTATTTAAATCAACAGCAGAGTCAAACAAATAGCAAAGCTACAGAACAAGTGTAGGTAGAAAAATCCCCATGCAAGGGTATTCAGACCTGTGTGTCCACATGACCAATGCCTTTTAAATCTACATATATTAATTTTTTTCCCTTCAAAAGAAATCCTATTGTCATTGTCATCCTGCTTTCAGGTGAATCAACTCAAAGCAAATATTCTCTTTGCCCCTGGGCATATAGTCAAATTAAGGTACGCTTTTGTGTTGTTTGCTTATACTTTGTGTTAGTTAGCATACTACATATTCCTGTAGCATATATCCAGTTCAACTAAAGTAGCATAATAGACAAGAATGGATATTTACATGTCACGGTACGTGCTAGTGGATCTTCCTTTTCTCAGATCCCTCTCCTAAACTTGTACTATCACGAAACAAAAGTGCAAAGTGAATATCATGCATGAGCCGATGTATTTGTTTTGCAGAGTTCCATTGGCTGCCAATGCAAGTAAGCCGGGTAAAGCAGGAATGACTCCTGCAAAATGCACACTATTATCAACAAATCAATCCGAAAATCAATCTGAGGATGATCTGGTATGCTTGTGATTGGTTGTGAATACATGGATCCTTTTAATATTTCATGCCTTTATTTATCATAAGAGTTAAGGTGTTTTACTCTTTTTTTCAATGTAATGTTTATGTAGAACCTGTCAGCCAAACTGTATAATGCACTACGGATGCTTCGAACTACTCTTATCAAGGAAGCAGGAGAGGGAGTCCTGGCTTACCATATATTTGCGTAATCACAGTTTTCACTCATTGTTCAGCATAACAATACATCTTAGCATTTGAACCTCTGGAATAGACTCCCCCACCCCCCACAAACACACACACCAAAAGAACAACAACAATAATAATGAAACGGAGTAACAACAACAACAACAATTCTGTAGATGGCCCAACCAAACTGGTTTCATAATATGACATTGAAACTTAACGTCAAGAGATCCTTGCCGAATAAATACTAATATAATGATGATGATGTTTATCTCCAACAAGAGCCTACTTTTTGTGGGGTTCTACGGGGTTGTTTTAATGATGATCTCCAACTCCCTTTAAACGTATATCGCTTTAAACATACATCACTTAAGCACGATTCAAAGCAATGAAGATCCCCCCCAGCAGTTTCCACCATGCCTGCTAACTAACTATTGATTGTCTGTGTTGAATATTGATTATAATTGTATATACCTGATAAAACAGCTTTTGTCTGGCATGTGTAGAAATAATACGTTGCAACAAATGAGCAAGAGGATACCCAGGAACAAGGATGAGCTGCTAGAAGTTAGCGGCATTGGCAAGTAAGTTTCCGACACTTGCAAAAAGTTATTTTTTATTGCTGCGCATCACATTAAGATATGTCACTGAGCATATGTGGGGGATACTCAAATCAGGGCTAAGGTAACTAAATATGGGGATCGGCTTTTGGAAACAATAGAGGCTACTATCAAGGCCCACTCCAAGGGTGATGGAAACAGTGGTAGTAGCAATGGGAGTCCGGATTCGGGCAAGAGAAAAGGAGACAATGACTTTGTCGAGAGCACAGCACGCTCTAAGAAACGGGTTCCCAAAAAGCTTTGCAAACCTAAGCAGGTGGCCAAGACGACAACGACGACTGACTACATAGAACTTGGATACTATGATGATTTTATGGATACTGATTTCGAGGAAAACTTTGACCCCCAAATCAATGGCTCCATTGCAAAAGCCAATGGTGAGGCAGGAAGAGTTCTACCTCCATGGGGATAGAAAAAGAGCTGCATGGTTTCGATCTGATATCTATTTTTGTAGTGTTATGTGTTGGTTTTATTGTGTTCTGAAAAAGTCAGGGAAGCATTCAGTATGACATTACATTTTTCAAAACCATGCCTAACAACACCATAGCTCATGGTTAAATCTCGGCATTGAGTTCGCACGACGTTGGGTACCATTGTAGTCTATTGTGCTTGGTTCATTAGTGTAGTTGTATTGTTTTTTCCCAGCATTGAAAATTGTCTTCAATGTAATTTTATTAAAGTTAGCGATAACAAAATAGAACTTGTACATCTCTAAGAATAGAATAGAATTGTCGTATTTAAAGCAAAATCGTTATGACATGTTGAAGTTCACTCTTTTTTGGATAAATTTTCAGAGTTATGAAGGTTGGCTTGATTATTACAAATATTTTTCTTTTATTTTTCATAATAATAACAACAACAATAATAATTCATTTGTTTTAATTTAAATTATCTGTTTCGTTTTACAATGTCGAAGTCATTTTTAACACGACAATAATACTATTGAAAACAATACTTTCACTGTTTACAAAAAGGCTATTGATTTGGTTTGGTACAAAACTTAAAAGGACAAATTAGATTACTGTCAAGAATACTCACTACTTATATATATACCAGGGAATGCCATCTGGTCCGTCAAGTCCGGTTCGCCCTACTACAAGCTACTGTTGATTCCATCTGTTCTGGGTTCTGGCTGGTATGACATCCAAGATATACGAGGGAAGTTAGATCTAAATTAATGACCTCTCAAGTGGGTGCACTGTTTTCTTGATTCCTAGAACCCAATCCGGTCTTTTTTTGTGAGCAATGCTAGATTCACAAACAGGATATTCACAAATTTCACAAACTTACTATTTATGGATTAAATTTTCATTTTAAAATTATTTTAGACTATTTAATTTTATTTATTGAAATTCACAAATAGTAAGTTTGTGAACTTTGTGATCATTTTGTTTGTGAATCAAGCATTTCCTTTTTTTTTATTTTTTTGCTTCCATGTGTATGTTGCATTTTAGAACTTAATTGTGTCTCCCTTAGTGTTTTGAAGAATGACATTCGTAATAAATTTCACTCTAGGCTCCACTGTTTTTACCTTTTGCCATTGTAAGTAAAAAAAACCTGTTTATAAATTTGAGACCTATAGATTAAAATTTAAGTACACAAATAACAAGTTTCTGATCAAGATGTTTAGGGTCCATTTGAATATCATGAAAATGACTTCTAGAAGTCATTTTTCTCATTATTTGGAAACAAAACTCATAGGAAATTTGGGAACTATTTAAAAACAAAAACTTAAAAACATCACATGCATTCGTTTTTTTCGTATTATTGACTCGAATATAATGTAACATTTGTTCGCACTTTTTTTCAACTTAATGATGTAAAGAGTCGATTGCCTTCCCCATTGATCTTAGGAAATAAGCTTCTTATCAATCAAGCGGCCAGGATTGTCTAGTATTCATCTAGTTAAATGAAAAATTAAAAAATTAAATTACGCCGTACTTCGTATAGGGAGGAAAGGCAATGGTAAATCTAGTAGTCTGTACATATATCTAGGTCACATGAAAGGGAAGTGGGTGTTTATGCGGTAAAATTTAAAAAAACACAAGTGCGACGACGCCTTAAAGTGCTAAATACAGAAAATGACATGCATATTTAAAATTATACCTCAAAACATATATTATTACCAAACAAAAGTTACACGCCTATTTTTTTTATCTTTTTATTTCCAATAATAGTGATATATTTCTTCACTAGAGTGTTAGCATTATTATTATTTTTTGCACCAGAAACAGTAACATCATGATAAATATCTTCCTCCCTCATTCCCAAGCAGCAAATTAAAAAAATGAATAATTTACAAAATGAGCTTTCATTACTTTGTTTTGAACGAAACAAAGCGAAATTTAGAATTTCAAAACAATATCAAAATGCCTCTCACTTTTGAAGGCCAGAGTCTTCATATTTTTTTAAAAAAACAGGGTAGAAATACTTTAAAATTTCTAAAAAGAAAGGAAATAGAAATTGCTTTTAGTATCTTACAACAATTTATAAAAAGAAATAAAGAAATATCTTAATGGTGCGGAGTCTCACAAAAAAAGAGAAAGAAAAAACGTTAAAGTATGCATGGGAGTCTAAGAAAACAACTTTAAATTTTTAGTTTATTATAACAATTAAGTTTTCATTGAAAAGGGAAAAAAGTTAAATGAAGAGAAGGTCTCACAACACGAGTGCAAAGAAATGTATCAAATTTACCCATTCTTCCCAAACATCACTTGCTAAAAAAATCCCACTTCAACAACCACCAAACCAAATTTACAAGCTCCACTCATTGTCATCAATTTACATGCAACTTCTAATTTATTTTCTCTTGACTGTCCGGTCGGATTTGTGGGGCTCTCGGGGATAAGGCCCGTCCTTTTCTTTAACATTCAAATTTAATTAAGCTAAAAAAAACATGCGATTCAAATTAAGTTTATACCTTTTCAAACGAATAATGCTAGGCTATATTCCACTACCACTAGTTCCAAATCATCAGTCATTAAACGTCACATTAACAATGACTACACTCACAATCTCACTCACTTCATACATATGTCTCACTTAGCTTCAATGATTACACTTTTATTTTTTATTTAAAGTGTGATCATGTTGTCATTAGAGTATGATCATTTTGTCGGATTTGATTGATTCTAGTCTAATTTTATTGAGATCTGATATAGTTCTAGTTATATTAAAAGTACTAAAATTGCTTCTGATATGATGTTATTTCAATAAACATAAATAATAAGTAAAAAATAAACTGAATATAATATGGTCCATGTGTCTTATCTACTATGGTGTGTAAAGAAAATATGACTTAAACTTATTAAAAAAGAAAAAAAAGAAAATACATAAAAAGTTTATTTTATGGTAGTAATGGTCCACTTTCGATATTTTCAATTTTAATTTTTGAGCATCTGTCCTATACTATTTTGAAAACAATTCAATTTGGTTCGAAATGAATTTACTTAAACCATTTAAAAACGCATTTTTCGATCTGGTACAATGTCTCTCCGATTCAGAATAATACTAGGGTATTTTTGTTTGCCTCTAATTGCACACACACTCTCTCTTTTAGAATGTTTGTCATATTACGTAAAAATGAAATGAATACTCAATTTTTTAAAATTTATTTTATTTAAATATTACGGAGTAATATAAAAATTTAAAATAAAATTTAGATATTTTAACATTACTTCAAAACTTATTTAAAAAATTGTGAAAAACTATTTTATTCTATTAAATAATTGATTAAAATGTACAAATAAATATTAATTAATGTGATTTTTAGAGGGAGTCTATTTAAAGGATGAGCTGCATCCCCAAACAGTGGAACATATAATACTAATATTATTTCTGGTAGTATTGGTTATGGTAGTGTTTCATTATTAGTCAGCTTCCTAATCCTATTTGTAGTAGATGTTGTATTTAGTTAGTCTCTATTCTCTATTCCTAACTGTGTTAGGATTCTCTTCTATATATACTATATCATGCATTTCATAATTTAAGGAGCAATATTATTATTCCAATATTTTGACATGGTATCAGAGCCACCGCTCTTGGTGACCTAAAAGAGTTCTTTGCTCCCACCGCCGCCGCCGGTAATTCCGGCGACGGCGGCTCCACCCTATTCACCTCTATTTTCTTTTCCTTCTTTTACCCTCAAATCAACGTCTCCATTCAAACGAAAAAAAAGGAAAACAACCTTGTTGAAATCATACAAAAAAACCATCAAAGGCAGAACTTCTCTTTTGTCATCTCCATGGTTCTTCAAAAAAACTCAACTCCTCACAAACTCTCTCAATTAATCCTATCTTCTCAAAAAAGGAAAAAAATGATAGTTGCTCTACAATTCACCATATCAAAATCTCAAACCCCAAATCTTTTTTCTTTCACCAATTCTTAATCCACTTTTTTTTCCTCTCAAATCACTCATTCTAATCATCAATCTTTCTTCTCTTTTTCTTTTGTTACCCAAAATATTCCAAAAAAAAAACAACACAAAAGCAAAGCCAAGAGAGGAAGTAGTGAAAGAGGAAAGAATACCTCTACAACCCTTCAAGAAAGAAATAGGGCATTGCCCGGATCCAAAAAAAAAGACAAAAGAATGAATGTCAAGGATCTTCAGTCAAACAAGCACCTCCAGTAGCCTTCTCTATTCTTCTTCGACGTCAACAGCTACAAGCGCACGTCAACCTTCTCTCTTCTTCTTCGATGTCAGCAGCTACCAGCGCACTTCAATTTCTTGCTTCTCCAACAACGTGAGAACCCACTGGCGCACGTCAGACTTCTCTCTTCTCAAAGTTTCCAGTTCCCAGCTACTGTCCAAGCTTCCTCTTGCTTCAGCCAGAGTTCAGCTTGAGGGGGATGTTAGAAAATAATACTAATATTATTTCTGGTAGTATTGGTTATGGTAGTGTTTCATTATTAGTCAGCTTCCTAATCCTATTTGTAGTAGATGTTGTATTTAGTTAGTCTATATTCTCTATTCCTAGTTGTGTTAGGATTCTCTTCTATATATACTCTATCATGTACTTCATAATTCAGAGAGCAATATTATTATTCTATTATTTCAACAATATACTTGATACTTGCAGAGATCATATGCTCAACATAATCGCTTCTCAATGCAATTACTAAGAATCAAACTCAAATCTTACTCCTTGACACTCCGTGTCTTGGCAACTGCGCAACGACCAATGATTAGATGGCCACCAAGTAGAGGGAGTGTATTAAGAAAGGAGCATGCTATATGTACCCCAAAATTTGTATCTCATTTGTAAACCAAAAGTATGCACAACATTTTGATGGTTCACATTGACATAAAGTGTTAGTACGTTAACAAAAATTTACATTGATATAAAGTGTTAGTACATTAACAAAAATTAGCATTATACCAACACAATATATTGATGCATCCATGACATTTCCTCTTGTGTACAAAATGAGATACATATAGCTTTCTCCTCTAAGAAATGACCAGAGCAGAGTGTGGTGGGTCCCCTTTCTTACCCACGCGTCATCATCATACGGAGCGAACCATTGCGCCCAGAGATTCGCCACTACCGGTCCACCCCGCCTCAACACCTCCGCCGTATCCGTCGTCTTTTCGTACGGATAAACTCCTCACCGCAATCGTACGCCCACGACTTGTTGCCATTTCCCTCCCTCCACTCTTTGCGTGCTCCTATTTCTACTTCTGCCACTATATATGATCCAGTGATTTCGTCTCAAAGTTCGCCGGCTGATGTATAA